AATCTGTTTAAAGGCAGGAGAATATGGGGGAGATTGAAAGAAAGTAAGGAACCAAAAACCAAAGATTAATAACTCAACACCTGCTTAAGCAGCAGGTGTACTAAAATGGAAAGGTTGCAGAGGGCGTGTAAGACTGACTCCCAAATTCATAAAACATCCCCTTAAGAGATACACAACTGATTCACTGTTGTACCAATGGTTAGTGCTGTCTTCAGTCATGGATGGTCTCTCAGCCCCTAGAGCCTCACTCTGCTCGCTCACTTTCCATAAAGAGAGTCAAGAGCTGATGCCTCCTTTCTGGTTGCTCGAACCTTCCTTTATGCATGCCACACACACTCATACCTTTTATTGATTCTCACTTAATCCTTTGAATTTTGGTCCTTAGTTCCTGTTGAACAGCTGGATTCTATGACCTTTAAGGACAAACATCAATATGACTTCTGAGCTTTGGGGAATTGGGGCTTTTTCTAGGCGCAGAATCCAACAATAGTTTTCATAGTCAATAGTCACCATCCATTTTGGTAGTGTTTCATTCTCTCTAGCAAAGAGAAGACCTGGAGAAATGAAATGGAACAGACAAATGTGTATGTGGCCAGGCTTTTGTTACACACCTAAAGATCTAAGGTTCACCATGCAAGTACTTTGGAAATCCAAAGTGCACAGTTTTGTCTGTTATCACAATGGCAGTTATGTGTCCTTCTTCTTCTCTCTAATCTTTCTGGGACGTTTTGCTTCCTCAGATCCTTATATTCAAATGTAAGTGCGTATGAACCTAAGTGACCTCATTAGCAGCAAAATCAATTGGCCCATGTTCAACTAGAGTTTCCTGTCATTAGAATTCACTGACACATGTCCATGCTCATAAGCTCAGTTAAAGAGATGTTTTAAATGATACAGCATAAATAGTAAAAATCCTGTGGGTGGCTGTTCTGCCCCTGTGCATTTCCTAATTGTGATTCCATATCGCTGTTATGGAAGATGCTGCCACTAGGAAAAACTGGGTGGAGAGGAGATACAAGCTCTATACTAGCTCTTAAAACAGCATGTGCCCCTCCAATTAGCTTCCAATAAATAGCCAAACAAGAATTCAGGTCAAACATTATTCATCATCACCATTTTTCCCACAAGACCACCCAAGCGTGCTGATCCTAGAGAGGAAATACATAGGGAGAGTACCATCTCAGGTCCACTGAACCATGCACCCTTTAAGAGTAGTGTAGAGAAGTCCCAGAAGGAGATAGATGATGAGCCGGGAGACAAAAGGAGTAATGAGCATGATTTTTCTGTCCGCAGAGATGGAGCAGTGGTGCTCGCAGCATCGCTGTGCCTGAGACTGCATCTCCATTCAGTGGCTGTGCCTTTAGCCGGCCACCTGCTGCACAGTCATAAGTTATTAGACAAGAATTATTTAATCCTTATATCTGGTTGGTCATTGTGCCGGTTTCTCAGGCTAACCTTGTTTCCATTCCCCCTCTTTTCTCATCATCTGGCCTTCCCTTCCTTCCCAGAAATTCTTAAGATCATTGACTTCACTGACGGAAGTCGGGCTTCTGACCGACTAATAAATAAGTTCACCAGTGAAAAGCCTATTTTTCATTCTGTTTAATTACAGGCTTCAAAGACACTCAAAATGGAGGCTGTCTTAGGCACAAATAATACTGTAGGCTTGCTTTACTTTCCTCCTGTTGGCATTGGCACGGAGCCCTTCCTCTGCTTTGAAATTCATGGCTGTGTCTGTGTCTGCATACTAAACAGACCATGGCCACCCCTGAGCCTGCTTTGCCTGTCCAGATGCAGTCAAATATTCCAGAGGTCTTAACGCCCAGTTCAGAGGTGGAGTTTAGTTCACTAATATGGTCCATTTGTTTGCAGTGTAATCTACATATGTGACAATAAATGGGTTCCCATATAGTAATTTGAATTGAATTTGTTAAAACTAGAGTGGGAGTTAGGCAGCAAAGTGCTTCTGAATTCTGGATACCTGACTTCAAATTTGGTCCTTTGAGTATGAATGCACAAAACATTTGAATGGCGTATGGATGGGACAAAACATATACAGAGCAAACAGACAAGAAACTAATAGTGAAAAGAAGTTTCTCCCTCCACACCTCTTTTCCTTGCTCTCCTTTCCCTCTTACAACCACCTTTAACAATGTATGCCACATTCTCTGCACAGAAAAGCATATGCTACAGATTTTACAAAGAAAAACACTCCATCTACACCTTCCTTTTTGTATAAAAAAAATGTCACATGATGCAGGCAAAGTACCAGCACTCGTTCCTTTTACTTAAAGATAGCACTTAAAGCTACATTATCCCCTGTATTCCGCCCCCAGATTTAAAAAGAAATTCCTGGAAGTAACCATCTTAACCTCCGATTACTTTGTTGCATGGATGTAGCCGTTTGTATTTGATCATGCTGATGGAGATTGGGTGTTTTAGTGAACAGCATGGCAAATTACTACCAACCGTATATGGGTTTAAACAATTGAAAGGTATAGGATACATTCCACAAAGGTAAACCTTGCCCTTTTAATTTGGTGCCTTTTAATTTAATAGATAATGCCCAATAATTACTTTCTAGTATTAATTATATATGAAAGGATGCTTCTTCATAACTACCACTTCTCACTGTATTTCCAAACTTTAAACCTGCTAATTTAATCATTGTAGATTCAAGGCTGAGGTCAATCCCTACTCAAAATGATACGTAGAAACAGAAGAGCAAAGACGAGATCTGCAAAGCACAGAAAATTGAGTAACTATTTCCAGGTGTGAAATTCTGTTTAAAAGAAAGAGGAGGAGGAAAGAAAGAAGAGAGAGAGGGAGAGAGGAAGGAAAGAAAAGAGAAAGATTTTATAATGTCTCCTGGAATAAAACATGTGCTTGAATTTTGAAAGTTATTCAAACAGTCAACTGGCTTTGCAGGTCAGCATTTAATAGCCTTGACAAACAGCACCAGGGTTCTGACCTTAAACTCCTTGAGCTCTTAGTCCCTGCGAGCATGCACTGAACATTCTTTCCCTGGATGCCCTTTCTTGGTCACACAGTTCATCATTAATGCATACTGTGGGAGGACACATAGCATAGAGCTGCTAACACATTTTGAGAAGAGTAAATCAGAGTGAACAAGCCACGCTATCTGGGAAGATCATTCTTTTTAGTATGTCAAGATCGAGTCCTTTGCAAGTCACTTCCAAAATTCCAACAATAGGAAGCCTGTGCTTGCTACTGTTCCAGGTAACCATCAATACTTCTGGGAGCTCTCTGAGGTTCTCTAAGGGTTTGATTTGCTGTGGATTTGTCCTCTGTGTAACTACTGCAAGTAAAAGTGTTTTTTTTTCCCCAGGTATGACTAGTACCCCATGCTTTATATTTTTTATTGCTCCAAGACTGAAAACCAAAACATTCATGACCTCAGTTTCACTCCTTTGTTACTTAGCTGCAATGGTACAGAAATAAGGGATGTGATGTACACTTTGCTTCACTTTGTTATGATTTGGGATGTTTTTAAACTCAGAAGTGCTGTTGACACAGAGATGCTATAGCTATATTAATTTAGAAAATGTTTATCAATTTCTTCAACTCACTGGATTCTTCACAGGTTTTCAGGGCTGGCTGCTATAGACAGAACCATTTTAGGGTTTTTTGTGGTTACTCTGTGCCAGCATCTCTTTCCAACCAATAATGGCATCCTTGTATCTCTGTTACTTGAATGCAATGCATCTGAAAGATTAGGTCTATGGCATATAAATTCCTCCTTTCACTATTTCATAACAACTTGGCAACTAATGCACTGGCCGTTCAGTAGTAATAATGAGATACCACACACTCCAGTAAGGGTACAGCAGAATGAGGAGAGTAGGAACTGACTTGAAAGGGAAATACTAGCTTCAATTGTTTTATCTGTTAAGCTGGATCCCAAATGGTTGCATCTACTCATAAACAAAGCTTCTTTATAGACAGAATTTGAATGTTCATTTTCCCCTCAGTTAGTATGCAAATCTCTTTGCAGCATTCCAGCAAAAGAGAATGCAACTCATCTTCTGTGCTTATAAATTGTTCATTATCATGTTCTCTGATGGTCAATCCATTGCTCCATCTGGCATAAATACTAGGTGCTGAAAAAGGCACATTTGGGATCAAGCGGGAAACACAAATCCCATACAAAATCTAAAAGACTATTGCTTGAAATATTGTGTCATCTTACTTGTACTTACATTTATATATAGTAGTCTGGGAAAGTAAATGTTTTAACGGGCCCCATTAACTCTCACTACTGTTTGTGCAAGATGTGTGAATGTCTTCATATTGTACAAAGGAGTCTCAATATAAAGAGTCAGAGTAACACAAAAACAGTCTCCAGAAACATCTTTCTTGTGATCATGGGTGTGAAATGTTGTAGCCTCAACACTGAGGCTCAACACTGAGAACTAATATAACTTTTGTTAGATTGTTTAGGGTTAGACCTCTCAAAGGGTATTTTTTGAGAAATAAATAGCTTCCTCTTTGATAAAGAGAAAATTTCATTATGTGTGCTTTTCTCAAACAGGAGTATCATGTAACCATACATTGACCTCAGTGATTAAAGCCACCCCTTTCGTATGTATATTTAATTCCCATCAAAGCCAACAGGATTGACTTCTGTTTCTCCTGACTGAGAAAACCTTTGCTTTGCATGAAAATTATATTCAGATAAATTGTGACCCTCACACCACTCACTAAAATATAAAAACAAAAAGATTCAAGGGTCCCAATGGCTCTCTAGATCAAAAAAAAATATCTACAGAGAAAACAAATAGTGTTCAGATCCATTTCTTGGGTGTACAGGGAAATTTCAGTGGAAATTGAGTTTGAGAATCTACCCGGAGAATTTTTTTCCCAGTTAAAATCCTCTGTGTACCAACATTAAACTATGCTGCAAAGCTTTTAATTAAAAAAAGAAAAGAATGATGTAAAAATCACACTGTCTCCAGGCACTGTTTTCATTAAAGGATTAGACCGATAAACTGTTTGGATTTTATTGTTCTAAATATGTGTTTCAGCTGGTGCTCTCAGATCTATCATGTGAAGAAAATGAAATGTAAGTAAATAACAAGATATTCCATGTTTTTATTTAGCATTTGAAAAATTCAAAGAGTAGGACTCTCTTCATTGGGCTGGAGAGATGGCTCAGTGGTTAAGAGCATTGCCTGCTCTTCCAAAGGTCCTGAGTTCAATTCCCAGCAACCACATGGTGGCTCACAACCATCTGGAATGAGGTCTGGTGCCCTCTTCTGGCCTGCAGACATACACACAGACAGAACATTGTATACATAATAAATAAATAAATATTTTAAAAAAAAAAAAGAAAAGCCTCAAAGGGTACTCATGTAAAAAAAATCATGATTTCTAAAAAAAAGGGGGGGGGGATGTTACTGCCATTATGATCACTTTGTTTAATAAATAACAGAGCTATCTTCAAGTGTTTAGGCTCTTGCATTCTCTTCCCATTAGATTTCCATGATTGTTAGGCTACAAAAGAATTGTGACATCCTCCTCCCTTGCCCCTACACTCATAACTATGGCAGTTTCAAGGAACAGTTTCTGAACAATTCATTTTCATATACAACCAATGAACCCACATCTTATCCTGTGTTATGTGTGCATCTCAAAGGGCATCGGATGCAAATTAAGTGAATAATTGATTCATTTCCCTACTTCGTGAGGCTTAATGGTTTTCAGAATTCTGTTCAGGAGATGAGAAGGTGCCATTAATAATGCTGATGATGACGAATGGGAACTCTAATGCAGGGTGACTGAGTGCAAGTGTCAAGGAAGCACTTGTGCCAAGTGCCGTGTTCTGGGTGCAGCACTTTGCCAGGCAGCTGTTTTCAATTATCATTGCCTCATCCTCTCAACGCCCTGTCTGTGGGCACTGCCTCTAAAGCAAGAGACGGGGTCAAACGGGAGTTGTCCTTAGGCCTGGAATCGTTCACTCTTTCAGATCATCCTGTTGCTAGCCTGTGTGTGTTGCTCTTTCAGCATCTGCATGCCCTTCCATGGCTGTTTTTTTACGTTAATTTTTGGACCTACTACTGTGCTCTGTCTTCTGATGCTTGTGACTAATCAGTTGTTTATAGTGTTTGCTTGACTCTGAATTTCAAGGCTGCCCACACCTTGCCTTCTTGTTTTCTGTCTTTGACCCAGAATAATAGACTCCTAGGATTGGGAAGAGCCTTAAATGTTGACTCTACTATCCAATCAATAGGACAAGGGGGGATGGTACTGGGAAGTCGAAAAGCTTCCCTTTTGCTTCTGAGGTTGTCCCCGTATGTGGAATAAACGGAGAAGAGGGAGATAATCGTTCTACAGCACAGTTTTACCTGATGCTTAACTATGAGCTTTCTTTGGTAAGCAATTTTACATCTCAGCGTCTGTTATAATTTTACCCTCGTTTATTTTCTGTTGAGTAAAAATCAGGAACTTCTTCAAATAACATTAAAAATAGCAGGAAAGAAAGGTAGAAAAGATAAGGAAGTGGCTGGTATTCCAGGGAAATAATATAAAAGAAATCAGTCCATTGACGAGAGATACAATACCTTGCACAAGGCTGTGTTAGTCGGATAAGTCTATATATATATATATAAAAAAAAAAAGACAGGCTATTTTAGGAAAGAGCAAAAGTTCCACATCTAAACAAGATTTTCTTTTTCCGCCTGCATTTATTGGAGAGGCTTTTAATTTAGAGCCATTTCTATGATCTGAGACCATTGTTTTAAATACAGTACCTGACTAAAAGAATAGAATCATCCAATGCCAGTTGCTTTGGGTAAAGAGTAACACGAGCTCACTAGATTACAGGAGAGCTCGATAGGCCTGGTTAGCTCTTGATGTGCTTTAAAATGAAAAAGATAAACGAGAAAAGCTGGCCCCGAGTTTATCTGCAAACAGACACACAGAAGGACAAGAAGCTAAGGAGGGGCAATGCTGGAGATGGGGAAGCTTGCTCTGGTGGAAGCTGAGAAGAAAAGGATTCGGATTAACAAGACATCATTTTGTAGTGTCTCAACTTTTACTTCCTAGATTCTCCAAAGCCATTTGAGAGCTTTATAAAGCATTTGACTATGAGTTCCACTTAAATTTGTTTTTAAATACTGGACATTTTGTGATGGGAGTTGCTCATTTTATAGTTGTAGCTGAAATTTTAGTATGAATCATACATTGTTCTGATTAATATAAAATCTAAATATTCTAATTGATTGTATATAAAATATGATGCAGACCCTTTTCATTTTAATTAGTTATGCTTTTAATCTATTCCTTTCCCTATAAATAACCGATTACACTGTCAAAGAGTACATAGTGATTTACAAAATATGAATATGTTATATATACATGCATGTATAAAAATGACTTTATAAATTAATTACATAAATTTCCTAATGAGGTGCCAGCAATTTTCCTGGTTCAGTGGATTAAACATTTTATTTAATAGTAGGAAAAGGTCAAGGTGTGTTGGTGCATGCCTATAATCCCAGAACTCTGAGTGGAGGCTGAGGCATCTCAAGTCAAGACTAGCTTGGGCTACAAAATCCGTACAAGACCTGGGGTATGTGGTGAGACCCTGTCACAGAACGTAAAGATATAGCTAAATAAAGTAGGAGAGAAAATAAGGGGCAAAATTTCTACCCACAACTGAGAATCCAGTGCCAAGTATTTTGACTGCAAAGACATATTTATAACCAACCTTTAATTCGATTTCTCACATGATTGGTGAAATACCTGAAGGATAAGCAGCCTGTGTTTGTCGTAGAGATGGTGCAACTTACAGTCAAGTTCTAGATGGTACAATTTACACCTCCCCCACTTCTAATTATTATAGTTGACCTGCACATTGGCTCATGGTGAGAAATAAGTTTTCAAAAGAAAAAGGAACCCATGCAATTTGTTTTTTCACTTATGCAAGGAATATTATGAAGACACTTTTCCTCTTACTAGAAGAATTTTCTTCTGGCTTCTACAAGGAGTAGCTGTATAACTGATGAGCAGCTCTTCATTCTGTTCCTCTCCATGACTTTCTTTTTCTCCTTCCCCTAACTGTAGGGAAGCTTCAACCAGAGTCAGAGGTCAGCCCCGCTGTTTCATATGAGATTTGCTGCTTCAGTCAGATGACCGGTATCACTCTTGGCCTGTTTTCTTTTCAGGTACTCTCCCTGAACTTGCTGCTCGATTCTTTTCTGGCATTCCTTTAAAGCGGTTTGGAAAAAGATCCTGGATGTAGATTCCATTTGGAAAGATGAGGCCCGAGGTTCCTACTTGCATTATCACAGAACAGGCCTCCATTTCCAGCTCATTCCTATTTATGCTCCTGCATCCCCCAAACAGCGATGCCATACAAGTCATTTCACCTAGGACTGAGCTTCCTCAATTTTGCAGGAGGAACAGAGAAATGTGCTCCTTCCTTGTATCACTGGGGATTTGAAAGTAAAGAATTTCGCAGGCAGCTAGGCACCCGGTGCATAACAGTTTCTGCTGTAGGAAACCCTGCATGATAACAGCAGAGGAGCAAGGCAGCGGTTCTCTGAGCTTCTTGAAGTTACCCCATCAATGAATTTGCAACCTCAGTTCCTAGATCCTCAAAGAAGAACAGTAAGGACCGGTCTAGCCATCTGTGTAAGCAGGAACAGCTCCACAACATCCAAATAAAGATGAGCCTTCGTGTTCTGCCTCACATAGCATTTCCTTTGACATCTATTTGTGGGGAACTCTAGTCCCTGCAAGGGTTTCCTTAAATCTGTCAGTAACTCATGCTTTTTCCCCACATATTTTTTCTTGAAAACTTTTAGTTAAATGTCTTATTTAATATTCAGCTGGATGTGGTGGCACAAGCCCTTAATCCCAGGATTTGGGAGGTAGAATTAAGGTGGTCTTTGTGAGTTCTATGTAAGCCAGCCTGATCTACAAAGCAAGGTCTAGAATAGCCAGGATTGTTACACAGAGAAACCCTGTCATTAAAAAAAAAATAAGAAAATATGCATGCATGCATATAATGTGTTTGAATACAATCTACACTTCCAATTCCTCTACCTTTCCCTCCCAACTTCTTGCATTTCTCCCTCCTCTCGTTCACTCTCTAGGTTTTTCACGTCCACTCAGTCCATTTAATGCCGCCAATTTGTGCATGGCTGTGAGATTTTATTTCCTGGAGAATGAGCGGCCTCTCAGAGCCTGCATGCCTGAAGAAAGGTGACCCTCCCTCTCTCAGTAGCTAACAACTGTCAATAACTCTTAACGTGGGGGTGGTACTTCATGAGCCCATCCCCATCCATGCTGGGAATTTGTCTGGCTTAATATTTTGCAGGTTTTGTACATGCATCCTGAGCCATTGTGAGCTCATGTGTCTAATTTCCACATCCATCAAATACTGCACCATTGCCAACCTTCATTGCCTTTGGCTCTTAGACTCTTTCTGTCTCCCCACTTCCACGATAACCCCTTAGCCATTCGAACACCAGTGTATTTATGTAGATCTTCGCACTCCGCAGTCTCTTTCTTTGCTAGTGGACTGGTGGTTGGTTTCCATCGAACGTCAGTATCTTAGGCTGACTGTTCTTCAAGGATAACTTTATTTTCAGGGATGCAAATTGTTCCCACTTTGAAAATATTATATTTAAAATCTAAGCAATTATAATACTGTTCAAGTTCATGTAACAGCTCAAAAGATGCTTTTGAACAACACAATTTGGGAAAGGGCTGGAATCCAAGAAGGAAGAATGTCCCCACATCTTCTAGCTGAGACTTGCTTCTGAATAGCTCTGTGGGCGTCTTCCTGAATTCTCCAAGTCCAGGAATTGACGTCTGTCCTCATTCTGGATATCATGTATGTATGTATAAAATGAGGACAAAATAAATGTTCCCTCAATGCTGGACATTATGAAAATATACCATGACTTTATTTCTATAGTGAGGTTTCCTGACCATTTGTTTATCAGAACCTCCACCAGGGGGTGCAAAGGGCACAGAAGGAGAAAATGAAATAAAGTTGAGTCCGTATTGACACTGAAATCCATACATGTTAAATGGCTCAAAAGTTGCACTTAACAAGGAGGTACTCGGTATTTATAAGTGACTTTAAGTCACGTGGACGATCTTAAATGGAAAAGAATAGAAGTGGAGATTTCTATATAAAGAAAGATAAAATACTCCATATTCCTAGCCAGGAGTTCAGAGATCTCTAAAACAAAATTACTGTTTTGTTTTGGGGTTAGGACAGCATAGCTTAAGTATCATACCGTTTTTAAATTTTTGCAATTAGTACATTAGAATTTTATGACTATAAAAGATAGATAAATTGTAAAAATATGAAACAACCTCAAAGAATATAATTTATGTGTGATAATTTATGTCTGTCAGACCAGCAGGCCCCTTATGGGTGGAATGGCTCCTGCTTTCCGTGGATGGTCTGACATTGATGTTTACAGTTACTCTCTGGGCTCAAGATGATGTATTCACAGCACAAGCACTAGCACCTGAGCTGAATCCACACATCCGCTAATGATGACATCATATCCCCTTGCTATGATGTGCCACTTCCTAGCTCATGGTTTTTAAAAACAGGCTGTCCTGAAATGCACTTTGTAGACCAAACTGGCCTCAAACTCACGACTCACAAAGATTTGCCTGTCCATGCCTCCCTGATGCTGGGATTAAAAGTATGTACCACCACCAGATTCTTAGGGTCCCCTTTTTATTTTCCTTGTTTTTTTAGAGACAGGGTTTCTCAGTGTCACCTTGACTGTCCTGGAACTCGCTCTTTAGACCAGTCTGACCTCAAACTCACAGAGATTCACCTGCCTCTGCCTTCCAACTGTGTGCTCGGATTAAAGGCATGTACTACCATCGCCTGATCTCTTAGGATCCTTTTTGTTTTTAACATTTGGCCATACTTTTATTTACTACATATACTATAAACATACACAATACATGCTACAAAAAATGTTTTTTAAAATTTAACTGTCAAGAAAGTGTATAATGTTATAATACAATGGCACATGTTCATATTTTATTTCAAATCGGTTTCCTTATCACCCACTTCAAACCATTAACAGTGAAATGTTACTCTTGGAAAATTAAAATTATCTATTTGCATTATTAATGAACAATTCCAACAAATTAATAAGCATTAACCCTGTCAAATATTAGTATCCAAAAGTGGGCTCTTGCAGAAGTGATTATATAAAACATAGCAGCCAATTTCAGGTTACTTTACTCTGGGACAATGGACATATGCACTTGAATAGGATTCTAGCACTTGCTATTTTTGGAAGATATTTGTAAGAAGTCCTTTGATCTCTTGAGGTCCAATCACTGCGACACCCAGCCAAATCCAAGCAAACTTCACGTAATGGCTCTGAACAACTAATCACCGAGGAGTTCTGATCCGCGTAGAGCTGTGTATCCCATCAACACCACACATAATGAAGAGATAGTTACATGTGAATGTCCATTTCCCTCTTAGCCACTTGTGATTATGAGCTTTCCTAGCCACTGCAGGTATCCAAGACAAATCCCAAAATCCAAAGTTCAAAGAATAAAAATTAAGTCAAATTCTGCCTTAGTGAAATATTTTTGTCTTCTAAGCACCATGATGTCACATCAGATGTGTCATACGTGACTTCTGGCCAGCAAGTGGAACATTTGGTGAGCAATAGACAATAAGTGTTTTCAATCTGTAAAGCTCTCAGGAGTTACTTTAATGTTGCCTGAAGATAACAGAAATGAGACCGTCTCAGATGCTGGCCAAGGCCCTGAGTTCCAGTATTCCCACTGTGCATTCTGAAGACACCATGACAACATCAGTGTATTGAGATCTGAAAGAAGTCCCTCTGTGTTCAGTGTACCATATTTCCCAGCGTAGTCGGGCACTAGGAATTGAATGACACATGCATACCGTAGAAGTTTATAACACAGATTACAAACCCTCTTTAGAGAAGTTGAATTATAAAGGGCTTTACTCTGGATATCTGTCAAAAAAAAGCATAATAAGAATGATAGAATGATTATCTGCCTAATGCCTCTGACATTTTGACCTTACAATGCTCCTCACTAATTTCTCCATGCCTTAGAATCAAAACTATAGCAACAAAGCATTGTCTTTGCATATAATTTGTGGTTCCAAATTAACCTGCCTTCTCAGTGGCTTGAATGAAGTGGACATAGAGTAGTATTCTTTTAGTATATTGGGAACAGATCTGTAGAAGAGTGAGTAGGTGAGTATTATGGGAAAATAGATGTGTTTAGTTTAAAGCACCAAAGAATCATCTCTAGTTTTCTATAATTAGAAACTTACTGCTTTTTCTTTATTACTAGGTGTGCAAATTATGATGACCAGCATTCTGATGGCTGGTATATCTGGTAAGAATTCCTTCAGATTGTTTTATAAAAACATGTGCATGTTCATGTACACTTTCTCTTCTAGATAATTTGAAACAGCATGTGCAATCACCAGCAGAAGGGAAATTTTTTATTTTTATTTTATTTTATTATTTTTTGGGTTTTCGAGACAGGGTTTCTCTGTGGCTTTGGAGCCTGTCCTGGAACTAGCTCTTGTAGACCAGGCTGGCCTCGAACTCATAGAGATCCACCTGCCTCTGCCTCCCAAGTGCTGGGATTAAAGGCGTGTGCCACCACCGCCTAGCTGAGCTGAAGGGAAATTTAGGGGAGTGTGAATCAACAGTTTTGTCATATCAATATCAGGACAATATTCGCTAAATGCCTCCTATGATAAAGAATCTATTGTTTTCAAGACTCTAAATTTATTCTATAGCTAGAGTTTGTTACTGATAAAGTAACTGCTCCTTCTTGAAATCTTTCTAAATTGTTCTTCCACTTCTGGTTGTAAATACCCAGTCAACATAATCAAATGAGTCTTTAATAAGATATTCCTCCAGAAAATTTAAAGCAGTTCTCATTCCCTAAATCACATCTTTCCTATCTTCCAAACTTAACATCAACCAATGCTGTTAAAAAATTTCAATTCCTCTAAAGCAGAGACACTGTCTTGTCTATCTTTAATCCTTACCTTGATATTTCAAATATTTAAATGGTGAATAAGAAGAAAGAAAAGAGGGCAAAAGAAGGAAGGGGGAAAGGGAAAAGTGCCTTAGTTTTCAAAGTAAAAAAAAATGCTTGTCACCAATGCTTTTTCTGAAGACCTCCAGATCTATTAGTGATGTAGAAAGATAGGCAATCACTCCTGTAGTTTGGCATCCCAGTTTGCTTGCACTTGTGCATAACTGAGTCCCTGTATGTTCCCCAGGCACATACAGAAATGCACACTCCTACATGCTCCGCCTCACGTGTCTGTCTCTTTTGGTGCCAGGTTCCTACTGATGATACTCTTGGTGGTTCTCCTCTGTGGAGTAGTGCTTCTCTGTCTCCGGTCCTGGCTGAAAAGGTGCCGAACAGACGATCCTCCCAGACGCACCGTGGCTGTTTTTGCTGTTGGAGACCTGGATCTCATTTATGGTGAGTTGTCTGCATACTTCTGGATTCCTCTACGAGTCCTTGAAAAACTATCATTGCAAAGCAGACCTATACACTTGAAAAATGCATCCCTATTGGGAGACTCAAAGGCATGTATTGAAGAGAGACCATACAAGAGGAAAACAGACAACAGGAAGGAAATGTGCCTCACTGACTGGTAGAGAATGGCAACAGAGCCAAAGCAGTTTGTTCAATTAACAAATGGATAGAAACGCGTGGAGATGGACAGTTCAAGAGAGTGGTAGGGCTTACAGTGCAGATGAGCATCTTTTGGCCTTGACATAACTCTACCCTATGCCGTAGTTACAATCTTAATCATTAAGCCTTTGACAACTCATTTAACTCATCTGAAGTAACACAGAAGCATATTTTCTGAAGTATCAGTTGCCAATGTAGAGCCTAAAATCATTAAGATTGGGCACAAAAAAGTTAGCTGTGATGTACTTTCTCTGCAGAAACCCAAATGATTCCTGGTTCTGCCAGCACCTGTCCTATCTGTCCCAAATTATGCCCTGGCCATCATTTTCCAGTTTTCCTTCAGGGTTAAAAGAAGAATAGGAAGAAAAAGAGTTATTTGTAGCAGTCAGTCTTTTCAGTAAGCAGAGTGAAAAACACTTATCTCTTGATTGTTTCCGAGTAGCTACAATTGATAATCATTTCTTAACCCTTAAGCACTGTCCTTTCTTTCAGAGATGGTTGAGATTTTCCCACCCAAATTTTACTTCCTCACATAGTTATCCAAAGAGTTCTTGATAAAAATTAACTTGGCTAACTTTCAGAAACTTGGGACAGTGTGGAATTTTCAATATATCAAACACAAAAGCAAACGACTATGTCGAAGGGGTAAAAAAAATAACTTAAGAGGGTTTAACTTGAATATGTAATGTTCTTGAGATTTAGTGAGTCTTAGGCTTCCGTGGAGTGTTCAGGCACAAAAGGTAACATATATGTCATCACCCACCAATGCTCAGGGACCACTGAGGAACAGAGAGGCAAAAGATCTTAAGAGGCAGAGGCCTATGAGGACTGGAGCAGAACAGTGTCTTTTGGATGTGAGAGGACCACTGCTCTCATAAGTTCACAAAGACCTGCACAACACAAGTCAGACAGCATTCCAGCCTGGAGAGAGGGGTGTACAGGACCCCATCCCTTCCTTTGGAGCTATCGACAATTACAAGATTCTGTGGGGTAGCAGAGTAGGCCAATCGTGCTCCAGTAGATGGTCTCTTCCCACAAGCAGCACAAATGGGACTCGGTGGGCGATTAAAAACAAAAATGAGGACAACAAGTTAGAAATAGGAAGAGAGGAAGATGTGGATCTGGAAGTTGATGGGGAGCTGGAGGTGCGGCTGGGAGTGGGTGGGGAGGTAGTGGTGGACCTGGGAATAGATAGGGAGGTGGGGTGGCTCTGAGAGTGTGTTAGGAGGGAATGATGGCTCTGGGAGTAGGTGGGGAGGTGTGGTAGATTTGGGAGTAAGTGGGAAGGTGAGGGTGGCTCTGGGAGTAGTTGGGGAGGTGGGGTAGATTTGGGAGTAAGTGGGAAGGTGAGGGTGGATCTGGGAGTCGGTGGGAAGGTGAGGGTGGATCTGGGAGTCAGTGGGAAGGTGAGGGTGGATCTGGGAGTAGGTGGGAAGGTGAGGGTGGGTCTGGGAGTAGGTGGGGAGGTGAGGGTGGATCTGGGAGTAGATGGGGAGGTGAGGGTGGATCTGGGAGTAGGTGGGGAGGTGAGGGTGGATCTGGGAGTAGTTTCCAGGAGAAGTTGGAGCAATTATGATCATGTACGCATGGATGAAATTCTTAAAGATTTAACCAAAATATATTAAAAAGGAAAATATTTAGTGATTATTTTTGTCTATATGCTTCCCAGCATGAAGTCATTACTTAACAAGGATAAGATGCTATCAATTTGAGAAATTGTTGTTTGGGAAAGGATAATTAAATTCTACAATAAAAATAAATAGCTCTTTCTCCTAAAATAAAAATTGCTTTGCATGTAGCATCAAGGGAATTAGGGTCACTAACCTAACAAAACATTTGTCAAAGGGATATGCATGGAAATATCGATCTTCTTTTCTTTATTTAAATAGAGTTAATAAATGTAATGTTTTTTTTTCCGCCGAGAAAACTTGTATTCCAAAAAAAAAAAAAAAAAAAAAAAGCCTTATTTCCTTGTCTCTTCCCTCTTTCTGAGGACAACTTTTCCATCAGGCTACCTTAAATCTTAAGAAAAGTCTCCTGAATTTTAAATAACGTCCTTCCTGATGATTTGGTTACAGTTTTTAAAGACGGCTGCTGCAGCCATGGTTTGTGTTGTTTCTCTATTTATGGCATGGTGGTTCTCATAAGTGACATTGAACTTGCCTGTACAGCCTCAGAGTGGGACAATAAAACATTAAATCCAGCACATTTCCTCAGTAATCTGCATAGATGTCCCTAAGACCTGGGCCTAGAATTATGAGCTCTGTATTAGGCTGGAGTCATTATAAACATAAATAAATGAATGCCAGAAATAAATCATCTTCTAAAAAGGCTAATCTGCATTTCAGATCTACCAAGTCCTAAGCAATAATTTGAGACTTTTTCGACCTTATCTCTATTTCATAAATGTCAGCTTCAAAAAGTACTCATCAGTTCTCTTAGAGGAGATCTGCTCCTCTCCCTTGCTCTCTCTCTCCCCCCTCTCTCTTAGTTCATATATTAATAATCCTTTGCTATGAAATGGGGGTAGGGAGCTATACAAATTAGTGTGAGTGCTCATAACCTAGCCAGCTCATCACATTATACAGCCAAACACTCAGAGATTTAAAGGCCCATCTTGGATGGCAGGAATTGCATTCTAGGATCTTAATTCCTGACATTTCCCATCATTTTTCCCAAGCCTGTTGGTAAAGCTTCTGGTTCTTAAAGAGAAATCTTAAACTCTCCTACATTGTCTCTTCTACTGCTTGCATCGTGGAAAGCTCTTCTCACCTACATTTCTCCTGGTGACTCAGAGTGGGATGAAGGCAGCCCTCTCTCTTCTGCCCCTCCCCCATCCTGTCTGAGGGTGCTCTCCTTCCAGAGAGAGCAGTCTTTGGTGTAAATGTTGACCCAGAGGCCTGTCTTTTAGTATTCGTAGTTCTCTTTTCAGGAACAAAATACAGAAAAACAATTTAGACAGTGGCATTCCCTGTCACCCTAAGGAGTGCCAACTAGCCATTTCAAGAGGTAGATTCCAGGGAATTAATATTTTGGAACAGTCAGCAGCCTGGACCCACACTGTATTTACATACTGATGAGACTTTCATGATGTTTTCACACTCTGACCATAGCTGTTTTGTTTCTAAGTACATATACTCTCCCAGAAATAAGAGTCCTCTGAGATCCTATAAATCCTATAAGGATTAAAACAACAATATCTCCCTCCACAGCTCCCGCAGTGCATGTGTTCACAGCCTGAGCCTGAGCCCGAGCCTGAGCCAGAGTCTTAACCTGACCCCAAGCCCAGGCACTGAGCAATTCATGGGCCTACTTCAAGGTTAGCGGAGTACATTTTTGAGTTTTCCTAACATTCACTATTAAGAAAAGGGAATAAATGAATAGAAATCATAGGAATGGCACTGATGAGCAACGAGAATATAAAGTAGGGTTCTTGACTCTTTGCCATCTCTGACACACAGAGGAAGTCTCTGCTAGACTCAAGATGTGGGAAGTAAACCACTGGAAACATCTTAATGGACATAGTGCATTTGCTGTATTAACCTTCAGTTCCTCCTAGACCTTTGTTTTATTTCTTTAAAGTTATTTCACTTTAATATCACTATTTATTGCATATATTAATTGGAATTGCTCACTCATTCTGACCTAAGGGTCAGAGGTTTGACACTCAGGATCTCACAAACATTGCCCTCAAAAGTGAAAAGCCAAGAGGAAAATTTTAACTGATTTAAAGGCTAAAATTGACTGAACGTTACTATTACAAAATATATAAAATAGGCAATTTTACATACATGCATTTCCTGACAATATTACATCATTCCGTGTTGCTGGAGGTTTCTGTCCTGCCTGGTCCTACAATCATTCAGTCCCAAAGAAAAGAACAGAAGTCTACATTAATTATATACTGTCTAGCCTATTAGCGCAGGCTTCTATTTTAACTCTTACATCCTACATTAACCCATAATTCTTTTTTTTTTCTTTTGTGTAAGGTAGTTTGTTACCAAATTTTTTTAATTTATTTATTTATTAAAGATTTCTGTCTCTTCCCCGCCACCGCCTCCCATTTCCCTCCCCCTCCCCCAAGCAAGTCCCCCTCCCTCCTCAGCCCGAAGAGCAATCAGGGTTCCCTGCCCTGTGGAAAGTCCAAGGAACTCCCACCTCCATCCAGTTCAAGTAAGGTGAGCATCCAAACTGCCTAGGCTCCCACAAAGCCAGTACGTACAGTAGGATCAAAAGCCCATTGCCATTGTTTTTGAGTTCTCAGTAGTCCTCATTGTCCGCTATGTTCAGCGAGTCCAGTTTTATCCCAGGCTTTTTCAGACCCAGGCCAGCTGGCCTTGGTGAGTTCCCAATAGAACATCCCCATTGCCTCAGTGTGTGGGTGCACCCCTTGCGGTCCTGAGTTCCTTGCTCGTGCTCTCTCTCCTTCTGCTCCTGATTTGGACCTTGAGATTTCTGTCCGGTGCTCCAGTGTGGGTCTCTGTCTCTGTCTCCTTTCATCGCCTGATGAAGGTTAATATTCAGGAGGATGCCTATATGTTTTTCTTGGGGTTCTCCTTATTTAGCTTCTCTAGGATCACACCTGTCGGAATGGCTAAAATAAAAAGCACCAAGGATAGCCTTTGCTGGAGAGGTTGTGGAGAAAGGGGTACACTCATCCATTGCTGGTGGGAATGCAAACTTGTGAAACCACTTTGGAAAGCAGTGTGGCGGTTTATCAGGAAATTCGGGATCAACTTACCCCTGGACCCAGCAATACCACTCTTGGGAATATACCCAAGAGA